TGGGTAGGAATCCTCCTCACATAATACATACATACTCTAGTTTTAAAAAATACTGTATTCTTACATCGATACAAAGCAAACTTCTCCATAAAAACCATGTTTTTCGTCAAACTACTCTCAATACAAATTATCATCCTTTTATTTCTTGCAAATTCAAGCTCTGGGCTCAAAAAATCCCGTATTTTTCCCATCCCTGCTTCACTACTGAACACACGCTCCTACAGAGAGAGTCCAGAAACAATGAAAAAATCATGGGACAGAAATTACCCTCGACGACTTTCTCTTGGTCTGACCGGAAAGAATGCCGTGCCCATTGACTTCTCTTCCTGTCAAGTACATTTAATCTAAACCAAACCAATTTCACTCGCGCTTTCTTTCTCTTCCTTTTCCGCTTTCTCTCTCTCTTTTTCCACTTCATTTCCAATTAATTCCTCGCATAGTAAAGTTTCGCAATTGGTTGGGCTGTCGAGGCGCAAAGTGATGAAGTGCATGGACATATGTATAGTTTCAATCCAACCCTTTTTTAGTAACGTTTTCTACGTTTTGTTTACGTTTTTGGATGAAGTTTTGTCCCAGAATTTTGGAGAAGTTTCAATTGTGTTTTAGACAATGTATGAAATTCGATTAGCAACGAGGAAAATCTGTGTTGAACAAATTGATGAAATTTTGCATGATTACTTTACATGATTATGATTTGTATGATTATGATTATTTAGCGAAATTTTGCATGATCTTTGGAATTTGAAGAATCAAATTGTGCTATGATTTTGTGTGACCTCTGTGAAATATGTGATTCGTGGGATTTCTGTGATTATAGAGCAAAATAAAACTAAAATCTTCTTTAATAAGCGTTTTATTAGCTTAAGACCAGCCTGATTTTCGAATTCAGCTCAAAATTCTGACCATTTTCATCCGCGACTCGACCCGTTTTTTGACTAACTTTCACCTTTAACATGCAAATCTCATGCAAACTGCGACTTTCTCCTAATCCGGGCAAGTCGGATAGAAAGAATGGTCAGAATTTCGGGCTGAATCCAAATATCATCTTGGTCTCGTCCTAGAATGCATTTTAACCAGTTGTCTCACTTTCCCCAAAGTAATATCACACAGATCACAATTTCCGAAGAAATCAAGTGGTGTAAAAATCATAGAAATCACACCTAAATTACACCGTGCATGTAATACTCACAGCTCAAACCCTAAGTACATCTATTATTACACGCATTCTGCTTAATTCTGTGGCGGCGGAAGTTGGGAAGGGACATAGGGGGACATTATCATAGTGGGATTATGGACAAGATACGATTTTGCTGAATTTCTGGGGAGGAAATTGGGGGGACGTATAGGAACATTGTGACATAAGAAGATTACGAACTTGTTACCACCGACAAGACACAATTTTGCCCAATTTCTGCGAGGGACAATGTCCCCCTGACCCCCCCCCCTCCTTCCGCCGGCAATGGTTTAATTACACAAAGTGCGGATTATGTACATGATACGTATGACGCCAGGGAGAATTAACAACCCAGAAATTCCTGGAAATTTCGTGATGCTAAATTCGTCACAATTTAGTGAGTTATCCATTACTCGTGCCCTGTTTATCGGGAAGTTGCTTATCGAATAGTGTGTCGAATTTCAAGAGAAATTAGATCCAAAGGAGGAAAAGAAAGCCATAATTTTCACCCCAGGATAGAAACCTAATCAGCCCTGTTGTTCTCATTTTCGGAGAATGTGGTCCAAAATATTTGCTAAATTTATGCACACGCGTCACCCGCCCACACAGCACATGTATTATTGCACGTACTCAAGGCAACATTTTAATTTGCAAAATTTTAGAAAATTTGCAAAAATGTTGGAAAGTCAAACGATTACGGGATTTGTAAAAATAGTCGTATTCCTCACGACAACGATAATTTAAGGGTTGAACTTATTTTAGAAAATTTTGGAAAGTTAAGAAATTATGGGATTCGCAAAAAAAGGAAAATTTAAGGAATTTGCAAAACAATAAAATTTAGAGATTTCTAAAATCTAAAAAAGTTAAGGGATTCGCAAAGTTGAAACAATTCCGGGATTCGCAAAATTTGAAAAATTCAAGGATTCGCAAAATTTAAGACTTTGCAAAATATAATTTAATGCCAAACCATGAAATATCAATTCAATCACCATATTTTGATTAAATTTCCACTGGTTAGCTAAAATTTCTATCGGACTGAATTAATTTCCGAAACAATTTTATGAAATAAAAACATTGCTACATAAATTTTGGAAAAAAAACGAAAAAATCTAGTAGTTTTCCTCCAAATTTTTATAAAATACTCCAAATTTCCCTAATTATTGTCCTTCCTGTGCATTCCTTCCTATTCCTCCGCCACTGAATTAATTCCGTCCATCCAAACATTTTCAATCATCCCGCTGCCGGCACATGGTGAATGAAAACGAAAACCCTGACATTTCCCATATTTTGAAATGGCGGAGTCAAAAACAGATTATATTAGATTAGTCGACACCTAATTATCTCCACTGTGGACGTGAAAGGCTGCAAATTAGCGGGTATCATACAGCACACAAAGCTTAACGCCTTCTTTGTCCAACTTCACTCACTCAAAACTTTCTCCACCAAGCAAACAAGCCTTCATTACATTATAACTTGATTCCCAGGATTTCCCAGGGTTTCAGAGCTAATTTTCCCGTGGGGTTAGTCACGAAGGCAAACCTGTTCAAAATTTTTTTATTCATTCAAAAGTGAGTCATCCCAATTTCCAGGGATGGGCAATCCCAACAATTTCGATGGATTACGGATTACAGATTAATTGATTTAAAAATTTACATGGGATTACGGGATTGTGATTACTTCGTTCCGGAAATACTGTGGATTACTTGTTGGATTACTGGGATAAATTAATGACGTGGATTACGGATTACGGATTACAGTAATCAGATTACGGATTACTATTTGGATTACAAAAATCTATATTTATGTATTAAGGGGTGAAGAGAAGCGAAATCCCTTTATGGAAAAGTGTTGGCCGTCGGTCTGTATCCACGATAACTTTAGAACGGTTTCGAATTTCAACATGCGATTTTCGACAACGGGTTTCTAATGTTTGAGGTACGGATGAGTTAGAAAATGGGAATTGTAGGTCATAAGGTCCCAGTGCCACGGTGACGACGCCACGGGTCAAACGTGTCGAATTTTTGTTTGCCGCTTTAGACGTAGTTTCGGGCGAGGATTACAAAAATCTTCATAGTTTTGACGTGACACGAGTCATGTCACATGACCGAGTGACCGTGTCGACGACGCAAAAGTCGAAAATGTCGAATTTTTGTCTTGATCCTTTTAGACGTAGTTCTAGGCGGGGGTTTAAAAAATAAAATCTAGACATAGTTTTGGTATGCCATGACCGGGTGACCGTCTCACTCCACCCCTTTGATATATTTCGTTTGCAACGGTTTATTCTGAAATTCAAAATCTGAATAGCGTCACACTTATATTCCATGATGATGATTAGTTCAAAAAACAAGAGCTTGGAATGATTCATCCGACAGTCGGTTTCTTAGGGCAGACAAAAATGTGTTGTAGTAAATAGACCCCTCTTAACTGTTCCAAAATTCTATAAACTTTGCACCTCTGCTGAAGAATCCAAAAGGTAGTTTAAGAACTCAAGTTCTGGAAGCGACTCAGACTCAGAGAAGTTGCAAGATGGAGCTGTCATGCCGTTTACATAAGCAAAGTAATCCAAAGTAATCCGTAATCTGATTACATTTTCCAATTTCGTAAATTGGGGATTACGGATTACACATAATTTCCAGACCTAAGTAGGATTACGGACTACGGATTACTTTAAAATGTTAATTTTTCGTGGATTACTGGATTACGGATTACATTCAATGTAATCTGATTACTTAATCTGATTAAAGTAATCCTGGGATTGCCCATCCCTGCCAATTTCTGAGTGAAGATTTTCATTCACATTAGGTTATTTTCGTTCAAATTCATTTCATTTCATTTTACTTCATCTGACTTCATTTCTGACTTCATCCTATGTATTAAGCATAGAGTGAAAAATGAAGGAGTGAGGAATCCTTTCATTCACAGTCATTCATCTGAAATGAAATGACGGAATCCTTCAGTCATTTTCATTCAAATTACAGGAAATTCATTTTCATTCACTATCATAATCAGTCACATGAATGAAAGTGAACAGGTATGATGCTACTTCGAGAATTGTCATTTTAATTCAAACGGCAGTAGTTTCATTTTCATTCACTATCATTCAATATTATATTCATTCAAATGAATGAAAGTGAACAGGAATGTGGGAAATTTACAACTTGGTATCAAAAATCGTGAAAATACGTAAAAAAAGAAGATAGATTACAATTCCTGCCTGATAAATAATTCATGGAAAAAAATGACTCATGAAAAATTCATAACAAAATGCGGAAAACTAAAGTTTTCTCAGGTTACTTGGGATGCAATTTAAATATAAACCGTTTAAGGAACAGATTAAAAATATTATTGGTGTTCTATGGTTCCACGTGGTTTCCACGTGTTTATATTTTTTACGAATTTTTTGAGGTATAATATTCTTGACGTGTTTTCCACGTGCAATTTTTCCAAGCGTGTTTTGGGGTATCGTTTTTCCACATGTCAATTTTCTCAGATGGTTTTCCATGTGTAATTTTTCCACGTGTAATTTTCCCACCTGCCATTATTCCCACCTCATTTCTCCCACCCGTCATCCACCCCCTAAAAATCCCGTCGAAACCCTCCTCCTCACCGAGAAGATTACTAACTTACTTACATATTCGTCGTGGCTGAAATGGTGGTGGGTGCCGAAATTTCTCATCATCACCTCTCCAATTACGCATAGCTAGACTTTCGCCTAACCAGATTATGGATGTTCCCGCCACCACCGCATCACCGTGGTGTTGACTGAAATGATAAGTGTATGTAATTTATGCCGAGATATGTAAAACTGCTTTTGGACCATTTTCAGACGAGGAGGACATGTTTCTGGTGCAGGATTTACTCCTCGGAGGAGATCTGCGCTACCACCTCATGCAAAATGGAACTTTCCCCTTGGCCGCAGTGAAATTGTGAGTTGCTTTCTTTTTACTTTCTTCTACTCCCAGGTGCAGTGGCCGCGGAAGCTGGGGGGACAGAGGGGGACGTGTAGGTTGTATGGTAGGGGGAGGGACGGGTTTATACATAAGATGGGAGGAAGAACTTGGAATAATCGTGGGGGACATTGTCCCCTCAAGCTTCCGCTGCCACTGTTCTCTTCCCGCCTCACTTTCTCCATCTCGCAGTGGCCGCGGAAGCTGTGGGGACATTAGCATGGTAGGATGGAGGGAGGGCCGGGTTAATATAAGATGGGGAGACGATGAGAAAATTAAATAACCGTGGGGAAATTGTCCCCTCTGTTCCCACGCTTCTGCGGCCACTTTAGCGAAGAAAAGTAGACTTTGTTGAGGAAGGAGTGGCCGCGGAAGGTGTGGGGGACATGTGGGGACGTTAATAATGTGGTTAAGGGGGTGGGGCTTATATAAGATGGGGATATTGAATAAGCTTGGGGTAATTTTCCCCCTGTCCCCTCACCCTTCCGCGGCCACTGGTTGCAGGTACATAGACAGACATCGCATGTCTTCTTGTCACTTCTTATTACCAAAAATGCCTCCGTTTCTATTCATGTTTCTTTCGAGCGAAACAAAAAACTAAACTCGTTCACGAATTTATTTACAAGTCGGCTCTGTTAGGTTCCCAGACAATTCTGTCTTATGGTTTGCTCAGAATGTCTGAAATTTCACGGGAAATTTCAAAATTTTTTATACCGTGCTAACAAATTATTTTTTAATGTGTAACAGGTACAGAGACATCGCATGTCTTTTTATCACTCCTTATTACTAAAATGCCTCCTTTTCTCCCTGTTTCTACGTATTCATGTTTCTTTTAACGAAGCAAAAAACTAAGAATTTAAAAATTGACTCTGCAAAAAGTTCCAAGAAAATTCGGCCTTATGGTTTCTTTCGAATTAATAGACTAATTTTACTGGAAAACTTAAAAATTTCGAAATTTTTGTATGTACACGTGGTAGGATGTACATATGTATACGCCCACTACATAAGATTCGAGTGAAATTTTGAGTTCGCGATTCTTCAGAATTTAACACACCAATAGATTGTGAGTTTATATTGCATGCTATTCAGAAAAACCTGGCTACGATTAACAATTTTAACAGCTTTCCCACACGAATCTATTCCATTTTTTGCATACCAACCTTTTCTAAGGCTAACTTTTTCGCAGAAAACAATGCAAAATTAGACCGTTCTGGGAAATAAAATGGATAGAAATCTTGGGCAGAATTATGTAACAAAAATTACGAATTTACGCATTTGTTCGATTACTGCAGAATTCAACGCAATTCTTTCTACCCGGGTAGGTTTGGTCCTATCCTATGCATAAATACGTAACTGGTTCAATTCCCAACGAGACAAGTCTTCAAGTCTGGGACGACAAATCAAATTATTTCACTCTTCTCAAAAAAACACGACGTAAACAAGTTAAATATTTTACGTGACTATGAACCCAAGGCACAAATTATGTATGCACACCGTAAAAAAACTCTATCCCGTGTTTATGTATTGTCCTAAAAAAAGTGCAGTAAATATGTAGGTATGTACTACCCGGTTTTTTATGACGGGTGGGAAAAATACTTTGTTAAAGTGTACCTTATTTTGAGCTCGGTTCGTCACAGGGTTTGGATTTCCTGGGATGTTACACCCACCAAAAAGACAAAAATCTACAACGTAGTCATAGGAAAATAGTCGTTTTTTGAAGAAATTAACTTTTTTCGCTGGAAAAATTCTGAATTTGTAAAAAATCGTGAAAATAATGAAGCAATTCACGCAGGCCTTTGGAAACATTGTAAAATCCATAAATTCCGTAAACGTACAAACTTTCACAAAATTTTACTCATATTTCGAATGGAAATTGGGTTCCGAATTTTTGTAAACTTGCTCATATCAAGGGTGTCTCTTATTGCGTAAAAGTTTGTAAATTATGCTACAAAACGCACGCATTTTACAAAGCCCTTAAGACCCGCGTGAATTGGCTCAATCTCTTTTAACAAGTTAATTCCTTCATAAAACGAATATTTTCGTATACCTGTTGTAAATATTCTCGTCTTTTTGTGGGTGTAACGACCCTAGAAAGAACTCAAAATGCGGTACACTCTAAGAAAACTGGTGTAAAATCATTACCAGTACATATCGGCACTGGTATTAACGAGAATTACCGTTCCGTACTGTTGTGGTAATGAAAACTTTACCACTCAGAAACAATTTCCTACTAATCCGGTAGGAAATTATTACCAAATCAATACCAGCACAGAGTATCTATGTGACTCTACCAGATTTTTAACAGTGTACATTTTGGCAAACTATTTAGCTCACCCCTGTTTTTCCATGTATATTACAACCAGGACCACGTGCCCACATAAATCGTGCACTTCTGTAGGAGGACAGGGAGTGAGGAGACTTATTACATTTCCTGATTGCGCTTTCCCTCCTCCTCCTCCTCGTTTAAATCGAGTCCTCTCTTTTTTGTTTCACCTAGTTCCATATAAAAAGAATTCCGAATTGATACTAAACTACCTCCCCCGATTTCGGAGCTTACACACTTTTAGGCAATCTTGTACTTTTTATTGCCAGCATAATTTTAAGGAATTATTCCCTATTTTTTTCGGAAACATAAATGTACATAGGCTGCCAATCTTTCACCGACGAAACGATAAGGCTTTGCCCACATATCTCCAACCTTCTATAAATAGAGGGATACCAACTATTTATCCGACAAACCTTGCCCCCCGAAAAAAAAATCGGGACGAGACACGACTCCAAGTTCCCTTAGAAACCCTCACTTTCACCAAGTTTGCCAAAATGAGGCACACTTTCACCGTGACAGCTTTCCCTCAGTCACGTGTCTATTGGACGTACTTTTCATTGCTTTCTCCCCTGAGAAAATTAATTTTTCTTAAAAAAATTTCTCAATTTTAAGGCTCTTTTCCTCTCGCAAATGGAGTCGTGTCGGAGAAACCCTCACTTTCACCAAAAAGTACATTTTGCGTACCAAGTATACAAAAATATGGTAAACATCTGAATAAAAGTGCCTTTATTAAGGCATGAAATTCATATAACCTAAAGAATATAAATTCATGCGTGCAATAATTCGTGTTTTTTTATTAAACCCTGTCCCATCGCAGTCAGGGTTTGAACTGTGATAATCCCAGTTTGTGATGTGATTTAGGCTTGATTCTTATGATTTTCACACCCCATGATGTCTTCGCTAAAGATTAAAATTGTTCGAAAAACGGATCAAGTCAAAATCGAATTTATTTTGCGCATATAAATTCGCAACATTTTGGACTAAATCCCAAGAACGAGCTGGTCTTAAGTTATTCAAAAAAGTTGCTCACTTTAATCACAGAAAGCACACATTTCACAGAAATGTCACATCACAATGTGCTTTTAACCAGTGTGACGTGATTATTCAAATCCTCAATTAAATCCAGCTGTCCCATTTTACCACATAATTACAGAAATCCCACAAATCCCATTATTTCACAGAAACTGTTCCCTAATTTTCCGCACCCTGCCCAGCCGTCTCAACTTGACAGGTAAATACGTATAAAAAAGCGGCCAGTTCTTGGTTCCAGGATCGTTTTAGCATCCATCCATCGCGACGAGCAGACTTGCAGACATGCCGAGAATAAAATAAAGCTGGGATGAAATTGCTTTCCTGTTCTTCTCTCTCAGGCTCACATTCCCTCTCTAGACTGATCCTCCATTCGGGTATTCGGACCCCCCGGGGTGCGGGTTTTTCGGTTTAAATTAGTAAAACCACAAGCATTTTATTCCAGTTTTTACAAACTTTTAATCCACTTTTACTACATACGTTTTTATACAAAATTCTGTAAAATATGTTTTTATAACAAGAAATATAGGGTAAAACCCAGTGTTCCCCGTGAAATAAAAAGCATCTTGCAAGAAATTATGCAAAAAATGAACAATTTCTTGCACAAGTGCAAAAAATGCAAGAAATTAGCCCCATCTAGCGGACAATCCTATTAATAAAGTGTAATACAAAGAGTGAAGCCACCAAGTGGGGTTCATTTCTTGCCCTTTTTTGCACTGCGTTGCAAAAAATGTTGCGCTTATTTCCTGCATTTTTTGCACCGCGCATTTGTGCAGGCCTAATTTGTCAAATAGAAAAGCGCCATCTTCCTTTCGTTAACAAATAGAGCAAAAAAGGCCTTGAGTTTTTCTAACTTTTTTTTACAGGTTACCTAATTCTGCCAGTTAACCTGTCAGATTTATTTGTATAAAATTTCTTTTAAACAAACATTACCCATAATTAAGTACAGTACACCCCGTTCTCCGCTAGATGGGGCTTATTTCTTGCACAAAGCGCGAAAAAAGTACAAGAAATCTGTGTTTTTTTCAGTAAAACCCCTCTTTTTTCGTAGCCCTGCCTTTCATTTTGCTGTTACTGGTTTGGTATCCCTATTTACCTACCACTTTCTCCAGCTCATTCATTTTTCCTTCCTTTCAAACACACCATTCTTGTCCTGCACCGTATTCATTACGCAATTCTCTCCTTTACAAAAGTTGGCAGCAGCTTTGGGGAAAATTATGTACATTTTCCAACTCTTGGAACAGCTTTTTTCTGTTTAGGCATAATTCTGCATGGTTTTCTGCAAAAATCGACCTACGTGAAGTAGTTTTCTGCAGAAAATTTAGCTAAATTTCTGCACAAAACAGGTAAAAATTTCTATACCAGAGAGGTACAAAATTAGACAAAATTTGTGTACAAAATAGGTCAAATTTACGTACAAAATAGGTCAAGTTTCGGTGCAAAATAGGTCAAATTTGTGTGTAAAATAACGCCAAATTTTTGCACAAAATTGGTCAAATTTTTGTACAAAATAGGTCAAATTTACGTACAAAATAGATCAAGTTTCTATGCAAAATAACACCAAATTTCTGCACAAAATAGGGCAAAATTACTACAATTCAAATTTTTATTCATGTGCATTATA